GAGAGTCCTCAGGGATGTCCCTTGGGGTCCCTTGAGGACGATCTCCAGGGGCCTGTGAGCCAGGATTGGGACTTCCTCGCGGCCTCTTGGGGGCTCTTGGCGGCCTCCTCGGGGCCTTCTGTGGGCATCCTTTGGCCGAGAGCTCAAAATGTATGTTCGGGTCCCCCGTCGGGACCCCTTCTTTCAACCGTCTTGAGTGTCTGTGGGGCCGTCTTGGGTGCCTCTTGGGCAATTTTGAAGCGCCTTCTGGGGCCGTTCGGGGACCCTCTTGGATCCCTCTTGGGCCGTCGTTGGGGCCTCTTGGGCCGTCCTAGAGCGTCGGGAAGACGAACAGGCGAGAACGCCGAAATCCTTGAAGCATCAAGGCAAAAAAAACATGTCTTGTTTCCAACCATCCTGTGGTGTTGGGTCCTCGTTTTGTAGAAACGGTCCCCGCGTCCTCCTGTCCTCTCCTCTCCTCTCCTCCTCCTCCCCCTCCTCCTCCCTCCTCCCCCTCTTCCTTGTGTTTCACCCACCCAGTACAGCGTTTCGTAGCCCCATGGGAGCCCCGCCGAAGGCTCCAGTGCTGCCGCCCGCATGCGTCACCCACACCCAATTCGGCACACCCCTCACACTGTCGTGGCCCCATAGGAGCTCCGCCGAAGGCTCCAGTGCTGCCGCCCGCATGCGTCACCCACACCCAATTCGGCACACCCCTCACACGCTTCGTGGCCCCATAGGAGCTTCGCCGAAGGCCCCAGTGCTGCCGCCCGCATGCGTCACCCACACCCAATTCGGCACACCCCTCACACGCTTCGTGGCCCCATAGGAGCTCCACCACAGGCCCCAGTGCTGCCGCCCGCATGCGTCACGCACACCCAATTCGGCACACCCCTCACACGTTTCGTGGCCCCATTCACAGGGAGCTCCGCCGAAGGCCCCATGCTGCCGCCCGCATGCGTCACCCACACCCAATTCGGCACACCCCTCACACGTTTCGTGGCCCCATAGGAGCTCCGCCGAAGGCCCCAGTGCTGCCGCCCGCATGCGTCACCCACACCCAATTCGGCACACCCCTCACACGATTCGTGGCCCCATAGGAGCTCGCCGAAGGCCCCAGTGCTGCCGCCCGCATGCGTCACCCACATCCAATTCGGCACACCCCTCACACGTTTCGTGGCCCCATAGGAGCTCCGCCGAAGGCCCCAGTGCTGCCGCCCGCATGCGTCACCCACACCCAATTCGGCACACCCCTCACACACTTCGTGGCCCCATAGGGAGCTCCGCCGAAGGCCCCAGCGCTGCCGCCCGCATGCGTCACGCACACCCAATTCGGCACACCCCTCACACGTTTCGTGGCCGAACAGGGAGCTCCGCCGAAGGCCCCAGTGCTGTCGCCCGCATGCGTCACGCACACCCAATTCGGCACACCTCTCACACGCTTCGTGGACCCATAGGGAGCCCCACCACAGGCCCCAGCGCTGCCGCCCGCATGCGTCACGCACACCCAATTCGGCACACCCCTCACACGTTTCGTGGCCGAACAGGGAGCTCCGCCGAAGGCCCCAGTGCTGTCGCCCGCATGCGTCACGCACACCCAACAAATCCGGCACACCCCTCACACGTTTCGTGGCCCCATAGGGAGCTCCACCGAAGGCCCCAGCGGCCGCACTCATTTGCGTCCCCGCCACCCATCCCGGCACGCCCCTCACAACAACAGGTTTCGTGGCCCCATAGGGAGCTGCACCGAAGGCCCCAGTGGCACCGCCCGAATGCGTCACCACCCGCACCCAATTCGGCACACCCCTCACACGTTTCGTGGCCCTATAGGGAGCTGCACCAAAGGCCCCAGTGGCGGCGCTCACATGCGTCCCCGCCACACATCCCAGTACACCCCTCACGCGCTTCGTGGCTCCATAGGGAGCTCCACCGAAGGCCCAAGTAGCGGCGCTTATGTGCGTCTCGGCCACCCATCCCGGCACCCCCCCCGCAGCAGCATCATGTTTCGGGGACCCATAGGGAGCTCCACTGGAGGCCCCAGTGGCAGCCCTCACATGCGTTTCCGCCACCCATGTCGGCACGCCCCGCGCGTGTTTCATGTCCCCATAGGGAGCTTCACATAATGCCCCGGCGGCACCCATCTCGGCACACCCCTCACACGTTCCGTGGTCTTGTGGGGAGTTCCACTGAAGATGAAACCCGCAGCTGCGGTACTGACAACTGCATATGGTTGGGTTCTTCGCCAGGCTAATTTTTTCCAGGGCCCTCTTGAGAGGCCTCTTGGAGGCCTCTGTGGGCATCTTGGGAGCATCTTCGGCCGTCTGGCGGGCGCTTTGGGCGTCATGGACCGATCGTTCGACGACTCGGAACCCTCTTCGGCCTTGTTTGGGGCCTCTTCGGGTCCTCTTTGGCCCATCTTGGGGCTATCTCGGCGCCCCAAAGCTCGGGTGACACCCCGGCGGCGCCCACAACCGCCCAGGACCGCCCAGGACCGCCTGGGAAACAGGGGGCTCGGGCCCGTGAGAACCCTTCATTGTTTAAACCAACCTCGCAAAGCTGCATGAGCCTTGGGGCATTCCACGACGTGCCGAAGGCACGGTGGCGGATCTCTCTCTCTCTCTCTCTCTCTCTTTCTCTATACAGGTGTGTGCCAGGTGCTCAACGGTGTTATCTCTCAATGTTGCTCTCTGCTATCTGGTTTGTACACTTCACTTTTGATTCACTCGATTATATTACTACCACCGTGGTCGCAAGGACCTGGCTACTTGGCGCAACCACAATTCCGGATACCGGGGAACCTTACAACGCTGGGATCTCCAGACCAGGCACAGAGAGCACGGGATCTTGGCCTCCCACCGAAATCTGCCCTGAACTTCGAATTTGGAACCCAGGAACCCAGAACCGGAAACTCAGGTCGGAGGCCTAGAGGTTGACACCAACACCAGTATCAGCGGTGTGCCTCCTCCGAGGGAAGATGATCCCGATCTCGGTGATGGTGGTAATATTCGAGCTTCCTACGTTGCCGAAGGATTACCACTAACAACGAAATCTATGACCATCTTCCCCTTGTGGAGGCAAACTCCCTGTGTTGGTGTTGGTGCCCATTTCCAAGCCTCCAACCAGGAACCCGGCCGCCCACCGAAATCGGTGCCGCACCATCGATTGTGTTTCGGTCTCCGCTCAGACCCCTTCAGTGCAAGCGCTGATTGGGGAAGTAGGAACAGCATGTTCTTCTCAACAGATCTTGTCCGAGCAGGGCCCGTCCCGCATATTGTTTTTGAGCATATAGGATTTCAACGTTTAATCTGGATGTTTCGTGTTCTTCAGAATGAGGTTCACGCTGCAGCGTTGGTTTATTTTAGGATCATCGTTTTGTGCATGTCGTTCACAATTGCGTTATCTCCCTGGTGTTGGCCTCAATTCTGGATCCGAGTCCTTGTCGTTGTCGCCCCGCTCCTTTCCTCTCCTCCGCCTTCGAATTGTCCTCATGCTCCCGCTTCGCATGCTCCTGCTGCTGCTGCTGTTCATCCGCGTCCTCCTCCCTCATCCTCTTCTTCCTGCTGATCATCCTGCTCATCCGCCACCTCTTTCAATGCACGCAGCTCCTCATTCCGATTGCGGACAGCACGGTCGGGCCTTTTTGGGGGGAATGTTCGTTGTGACACGCGTCGGCGGATGAAGGCATAGTCAGTGCAATGGCAAGTGGTGGGTGGGATTAGGTCGGGCATGTCTTCCCACAGGCGGATTTTGGATGGACATTCAAACATAATCAAAACATAATCACACAACGTATTCAAGAAGATTCAAAAAACGTCCCCAGGCTATGTTTTGACTATTTTTCTGAATCTTCCTCATGCTGAGGGACAGGCCCGACTTAAAGGTTGGGGGGGGCGGGGGCGAGATGTCAGAGGTGGCGCGAGCGCACTCCGCTTGTCCCGTCTCGTTCCCGTGTGCCTCTTTTTCCTCGGCCGTCGACGTTGTATCCGTTGCCCCTTGCTCGGTCTCCCCGATCCCGCGAGGAGGCAGATCGGGGATGCCCATCGGTCGTTGAAGGCAGGCGTCCACCTACTTTCGGCGCCTTTCTACTTCAAGGACCGAGTGGCTTCACCTCTTCCGTCCTTCTCAGGGGGCGGGCGGAATCCCAATCTCCTTTTCACCGCCTGTCTACTTCATGTTTCTGCCTACTTCTTCCGACGGATGGGTATGGAGACATTCCTGGCCTCCGCGGCCACAACCTCTGTCCAGACCCTGCTCCCCCTGGCTCTCAGAGTGGAGGGCAGCAGCATGGAGATGGGTCGAGCGTCGACCGTCGATGCCCGTCCACCCTCTCGCGATTCCCGTCGTTTCCCCTCCGTATCTGCCACTCTCAGAATGCATCTCCTTGGATTTTACACCTCGCATTGGCGCTGACATGATCGAACACCAGCGTAATCGGCCATAGCAATTTGGCTCAATCCAGTTCAATCGGGCTTGATATGTCGGCCCAATCCGGGCTGATCCGACTGAGCGGCCCTTGAATCGGACCTAAGAGTTCTGAATCGTTCTTGCGGAGACCCCGCGTGAGGTGTTCCCCAATTTATCCCAACCCAGTCGTTTGATAGCAACTCACTGGGGCCTTGTAAGCCCTCGAATTCCAATCTCTGGAGCGCATTAGCGTGCGCAAGCGACTGATAATCGATGAGAGCGCCGAGGTAGCGTCGATTCATCGTCGATTCAGCGTCGATTCGCATCGGCTAGCGTCGGCAAGCGTCGATTCGCATCGGTCGGGGTCAGGACACGGATACATTGTTTCAGAGCGTTCCAGAACGCTCTCAGTGCGCTCTGGAACGCTCTGGAATGGCCACGTCGCCCGATACATCCTCCAGAACCACCAGATCTCAGAGATTCACGATGTACCTGTGGACGATGTTGCACTTGTCATGGTTTCGACTTCTGGCAGGGGAGACCCCCATGAGTGGCCACAGAAACTTTCGCTCCCCGCTACCAAGATGGGCCAGTGCCCTGTTCTGCCGCCCGCAGAGGTCGCTCGCTGCGGAGGCGGTGGCTCTTCACCACGGCGAACCGCTGTTCCCGCCGGAGGCCTGCGCCGACAAAGGGAGGGGGAGGAGGGGGAGGACGAGAGGGCAGGGGTAGAGAAGGAGAAGGAGGATGAGGAGGAGGAGGAGGAGAAGGGGCGAGAAGGAGAAAGGAGAGGAGGAGGAGGAGGAGGAGGAGGCGAAAGGCGAGTTGAGACAACGGCAGTTGGCCTTCGGTGGGCCCCTTTGTCGACACGGTTGGGCGCAGCTCGGGAGGGGTGTGGGAGTCGATTTTGGGTTCCCGTTGTCTTCATTCGCCCTGATCCGAGAGAGGAGGAGGAGGAGGAGGAACAGTGTTCAAAGATGTTCGAATACATTCGGCCGGCGTAGAGGGTCCCACACCTTACGCAGAGGGTCCGAGCCAGGGGGAAAGGAGAAGGGGGAGAAATATGCACCCCAAACCCTCCAACATCCACCCCTGCGATTTCCCTCTTCCTCTTCCGTCTCCTCCTGCTCCAGAGGTGTCCTTCTGGAGGCCTACAAAGGTGTCCCTCCAAATACCGAAGACAGCCCAGGAGTTTCCGTCCATCTCCGCCTAATTACTCCTCCCCAGCTCATCCTATGTCCCCCTCCCCCTCCTCCATCTTCCCTGTTCCGTTCTCGTCCCCCCTAATCCACCCTCGTCCGCGTCCGTCTCATCCTCCTCACCCCCATCTCCATCGCGTGTTCCCTCATAGTCGTCCCTTGAGGTCCGACGTCACAAAAGAATTGCGATGTAACGAGAAGTTGCGACTGGAGCCGTAAGCCCAGTCTGTTTGCGACATTTTTCGAGCGGGATCGACATGTGATGGTTGGAGACCAAGCGACATCGCCCGTTGGGAAAAATGCGACCCCAGGGTCTCGGGGCCATCTTCATGTCGGCTGTTCGCTGTTTGCTTCGGGGCCAAAGTCGACGCCGCCCCACCCCCCCCCCGGGGGGGGGGGGGGCTCGTAGCAAATCATTTGAGCCTGGTCTACCCTCTTCATTCCGTCTTTAGCGTCGATTAGCGTCTGGGAGTCGATGATATGGCGTCAATTTAGCGCCGATGAGCGTCGACTTAGTGTCGACTAGCGTGGTTTCGCAAGATCCGACAAGATCGAACGGAAGGCTCCCATGAGTTGCCCAGGGAAGTACGCAAAGCCACCTCTCATCCCTCCCCTACTTCGGGCGGCGAAACCTGTGCATATCCACCGCTCCCTGGGCAGGCCCATCCTGAACCCAGGAGCTGTGTCTACGCCCACCTGGGCCAGCCAGGAGGGCGGGGCGCACACGCCGCTGCTGGGTTCAGGATAGGCCAGGCAAGGGAGCAGTGGATGTGTATAGAGTTCGTCGCCCTACTCTCCGCAGTGGAGGCAGGCGTAGAGGAGTCGAGGACGTGCTAATAATGTTCTAGGAACTTTTGTGTGGTCTGAGCAACATGTTCTTAGAGCTTTTCTGGCCGAGACTGTTTTGTTGGAACACATCGGGCTCAAGTTCTAAGAACATGGTTCTTGTTCAGAGAAGATTCGAGGGGGTTCTAAGAGAATGTCGTGGTAGACCTATAGGAATGCTGGGACGGTCGGTTCCTGCTCAATCCCTCTCCTATCTGCACTGGAGGCAGGCGTAGGGAAGCCGATCCCCCCCCGCAAGGGCGCGGCGGACGCCCCCGCGCGCGAGGCGAAGCGCCCGAGGCGGGCGGGAGCGCCCTGAGGGGGCGAGGCGGGGGTGTACAGAGAGGCCGCCCTCCCCCGAAGGAGAGAAAAGGCGCGGGGAAGGAGGAGGGGGGAGGAGTGAGGGGGAGGAGGAGGAGGAGTGAGGATTGAGGAGGAGGAGGAGGAGGGTGAGGAGTGAGGAGTGAAGAGTGAGGAGTGAGGAGTGAGGAGGAGGAAGAGGAGGAGAAGGAGGACCAGGCGGAGGAGGAGGAGGAGGAAGGGTGAAGAGTGAGGATTGAGGAGTGAGGAGCGAGGAGTGAGGAGCGAGGAGCAGGAGGAGGAAGAGGAGGAGGAGGAGCAGGAGGAGGAGGAGGAGGCGGAGGAGGAGGAGGAGAATAGGAGAGGAGGAGAGGAGGAGGAGAGAGGAGGAGGAGGAGGAGGGGAGGAGGAGGAGGAGGAGGAGGACGAGGAGGAGAAGGAGGAGGAGGAGGAGGGATGAGGGGGGGGAGGAGGAGTTAGGAGGGGGAATGAAGAGGAGCGAGGAGGAGGGAGGATCGAAGAAAAACAAACGCAATAAACACAAACTTTTGGCGCTCCGCGCTGCCTTCTTGGATCTGCTCTGGTCGCCCCCCGCGGCGCTTCCGGCGTCGCCTCTTTGCGCGCTCCGCGCGCCAGGGAGGGGGGGTCAAGCGCAGGTCCACAGAGCCCGCGCGGAGCGCAAAAAGTTTATATGCATGTTTTTTTATGCTTCTTCTACGGAAGGAAGAGGGAGGAGGAGGAGGAGGAGGAGGAGGAGGAGGAGGAGGAGGAGGAGGAGGAGGAGGAGGAGGAGGAGGAGAGGAGGAGGAGGAGGAGGAGGAGGAGGAGGAGGAGGAGGGGGAGGGGGAGGGGGAGGACGAGCGGAGGGGAAGAGGGGGAGGAGGGAGGAAGCTGTTGCTTGATGCACGAACTCCGCTGTACTAAGCCTGGCACGCACGGCTGGCGCCGTGGGTATGCACCTGCCTAAACGGCGACCCGCCAACGGGGGAAACGGACCGCCGACCGCCAAAGGCGGCGAGTGCGGGTAGTAAATTCCCGTACCGCCCGGGAGGAGGAGACGGGACTTGGCGGCCCCCCGAGAAGGAACGCCTTGGTGGGGGGGGTTGAACCCCGAAGGCCCGGTGCTCCCCGCCTGCGCCAGGGGGCGGTTTGGCCGGACACCCCGCTTATGGGGGGAAGGAGGAGGACCAGTGTTAAACCCAAGACTCATGAACGATGTTTTTGTTTTTGATCTATGAAAGAAATCCCTTCAAGCTCCAGTCTCATTTCCACTGGGGGAACTGCCTCGTTGGGGGACAACCGTTTGAAGACCCGGAAGCGTGCCAAAACTCCATTCTTAATGCCACGAACCAATATGATTGTTGCGCCTTGACGATCCTGAATCGTCCCAGAACGCCGCTCCTGTAACCCCAAATCCGCAGATCAGCGTCAATGCTACGCACGTCCTCGCAATCTTGAGTCATTGTAAAACCATATTTTTGGCACGTTGACCATGGGCATCCGCTGCAAATGCTTCAGACGAGTGTGCCGGCGCTAAGGCGAGGCCACATGTTGAAAAGGAGCCTGAAGCTCTGGCTAAGTTTTAAAACGAGTACACGCGGCGCTAAGGCGAGAACGCATTTAAAAAACTACCCGCCCATAATCCGCGAAACTCTAACAAATGTTTAAAACGAATGCGCGCAACGCTAAGGCGAGAGCCACATTTTGAAAATGGCACGCCCTGAATACGTGGAACGTTTGCAAATGTTTGAATCGAGTGTGCGCGGCGCTGAAGCGAGAGCCACATGTTGACAACGATGCGCCCTCATTCCGTGAACGTTTTGAAATGTGGGACAACGAATGTGATCGGTGGCCCGTCCTAAATCTTTGGAGCTCTTGCAAGCTTTGAAAACGAGTGTGCGCGGGTCTGAAACGGGAGCCACATGTTGAAAACGATGCGCCCTCGCTCCTTGAACGTTTTGCAATGTTGAACAGCGAATGTGATCGCCGCCGCGGCGAAAGCCACATTTTGAAAACGACCCGCCCTCCATTTGTGAAGTCTATACAAATGTAAGCTTCAGGATCACAGGTTGTGTGGAAATCTCAGGCGAAACGCCCTGCCCGCCCTTTCGGCGGTCCTCGGGGTGCGACAGGGATGAGTGAATCATCAAAAAATTGAATGGAGGTAGGACGATGAGGACGGAGGAGGAGGAGGAGGACGAGGAGGAGGAGGAGGGAGGAGAAACGGAGGAAGGACGAGGAGGAGGACGAGGGGGAGGAGGGGAGGAGGGGGGGAAGGGGAGGAGAACAAGGAAGAGGAGGAGGAAGAGCAGCACCAGCAAACATAAACATGGGCATATGGAAGAGGACGAGGAGAGGAGGAGGAGGAGGAGGACGAGGAGGAGAGGAGGAGGGGGAGGAGGAGGAGGAAGAAGAAGAGAAGGAGGAGAGGACGACGAGGAGGACGAGGAGGACGAAGAGGAGGAGGAGTGCGAGGAGGACGAGGGGGAGGAAGGAAAGGATGAAGAGGACTTGCAGGAGGAGGAGGAGGAGGAGGAGGAGGAGGAGGCTCAGGAGGAGGAGGAAGAGGAGGATCAGCAGAAGCAGCAGAAGCAGGAGAGCCAAACGAAGGAGCATGAGGACGAGGAAGAGGAGGACTTGCAGGAGGAGGAGGAGGAGGAGGAGGAGGAGGAGGAGGAGGTAGGAAACGTGAAGATACTGCACCGCGTCAGAAAGTTCCGAGGACGAACGAATGACCTCGAGGCCCGTCGAGGGCGAGGGGCCTCGTGCCCCACCTGCTCCCGTGACCCCCCCCCCCGCTCGCGCACGCGCTCGCGCAGGGCCGCTGTGCGGGTCCTGCGCGGCGGATCTCCAGAGAATCGTCGAATCATTTCCGCTGAGGGGGCTGCCGGGGGACTCGTAGAGCTTCCTGAGAATCTATAATGTCGAAAAAAAGGTTGACGGTTTACCGCCAGCGCCCAGTACCTGCGCGCTGGAGAGCTAGTTGGCAAGGAAAATCTCGACAGAATGTTTTGCTGCATGAGCGGAAGGGGCAGGGAGGCGGGGAGGGCTAAATGTCGGGGCGGCCCACACGAACGAGGCAACACAGCGAGGCCTTCTGCGCCGACGCTGGCGCTTATAAGCTGCCCGCGTGCGGTCGCGCGTGGGCGCCCGCGTCTCCAGTGCAGCGTGCTGCGGTGGCGGCCCGCGTAAGCTGCGGCGTACACCCTAGGCGATCCTTAAGAAAACTTAAGTTTTCGGCCAGTGCCTCGACTATTCTTAACGTTTCAATGTAAACCCCAAGATTTTATTAGAAATGTTGGGTTTTTCTTCAAGTTCTGAGACTATGAATTTCTTAACCCATGATTTCTTAAGCATTTCGCAGGGTGTACGGTCGCTGCGTGATCTCGCTCAACACCCGCCTGTTTCTGATCGCCGTTCCACTGGGTACGGGAAAAGTGGATGCAACACCCAAAAGCAATTGCGGTTCATTCTGGACCAGATTCGCGGTTGGCGTCGCGGCGGTTGTTGTTGATTTGAGACGCAAGCTCGCCTGGCAAACATCGGCCGCTGTCGGTTTTGAACCACGTGTTTCGTCGCGTATTGTGCCCGTGTTTTTCGCACCCATTTCGGGCTTCCGAGAAAGTCCGCTGCCGGCAAATCTCCGAGGCGGACCGAGCATTTAGAGGCAGGAGAGGAAGGGGTGGGGTGCGCTCGCGGCCGGGGAACCCAGCGACGCTTGGAAAATTACAGCTCGATCTCGAGTCGCAGGCCCCGCTCCTTGACTCTCCCGCTCGGGGGGAGAACGAGGGAGGGAGGAGGGGAAGGAGGAACGAGGAAGGGGAAAGGAGGAGGAAGGGGGAAGGCGGGAAAAGGAGGAAGGGGGAAGGAGGAGGAAGGAGGAAGGGGGAAGGCACCCGCGCAGGGAGTGAGGAGGGAGGAGGAAGGACGAAGGGGGAAGGAGGGCGGGGGTCAGAGGGAAGGGGGCGGGAAGGGGTACGGAGGCGGTTGGAGTCGAAGAAGAACATAAACGTCGTAAACATAAACGTTTGGCGTTCCGCGCAGATTTCTTGGATCCGCTTGGGCGCCTCCAGGGAGGGGGTCCAGCGCAGATCCAAGAAACCCGCGCGGAGCGCCAAAAGTTTGCTCATGGCGCTGTGGATTGTTCTTCTTCTGTGGAGGGGGCTTCGGGGGGATCTCGCGGGGCCCAGACTGGACAGCGCCCCAGGAAGGAGGATGACAAGGAGCAGCATGGAATCGAGCAGCAGGAGCATGGGCAGGAGGAGGCGGCATTCCCCCCCCATCCCCGCTCCCATCCCTGGATCCCTCACCACCCCTAGAATTCCCTAGGGATTCCTAGAGATTTCTACGGATTCCTTAGGGTTCCCTAGGGATCCCTATGGATTCCTAGGGAGTCACAGGGGGTCACAGGATTCACAGGATTCCCCAAGGGTTCCCAGGGATTCCTAGGGATTCCTGGGGAAGCCCCAGCTTTCTTCGTTCTCCCTCTCCTCCTCTATATACCCCTCCCGCAGTTCCCCCCCCCCTCTTCCGACGACGGCGCCGCCGCATCGGCGTCGTCGTCATGGTTGTCGTGGTCGTCACAGTCGTCGGCGTTGGCGCAGACCGACGCGCCTCGGCGGCGGCGGCGGCGCCGTCGGCGGCGCCGTCCTTGACGCGGCCGGGGGGCCCGCCGGCGCCTTGCGGCAGGCGGGAGCCGAGCGGGGGGGCGCCCCGTGCGCGGCGCGCCGGGCGCGGCGCGCGGCGCGGCGCCCCGGGGCCGGCGGAGGGGCGCCGGGCGCGGCGCCGATGGCCTGGCGGGCGGTGGCGGCGCGGCGCGCCGGGGCCCGAGGCCCCCGGGACGGCGGTCGGGGCTGCCCAGGCTCAGAGGAGGGCAGGTTTTTAGGGCTCTACAGGAGGGTAGTCCAACACAGGAGAAAGAACTCATCTGGGGGCGACGCTTCTATGATTTGTTGCTCCTTTGGGAGTTCTTGAAAAGCCGCCTGCAGGAGGACGTGCCCGAACGACGCCCAAGCTCAGAGGAGGGCGAGTCGAGGCAACGAACGTCGGCCTTCGGCCCCTCGGCGCCACGGCTGTGGGGCGCAGCTCGGGGGAGCGGTGGTGCGTTCGGACCCCGCGGGGGGACCGGGGGATCGGTTTCGCGCTGCTGCTGTTTCCAGGCGCCCTGCTGCGGGAAAAGCGTACGGTGGCCTCGCCGTGCAGTGAGTCAGTGTGGACTCGGGGTGGCCGCGCGGGTTGGGGGACCTGGGCCGTTCTCCGAGGACGTCTCGGGCGGCTGGGGCCTCCGAGGTCCCAAGATCGTGCGGTGGCGGACCGTGCGGTGAGGTTTTTCCGGATTCCGAGGTCACCGCAAGTACGGTCTGTCACCGCACCGCTTTGGGACCCCCACTTGCCGTCCCCCCGACCACGTCGCCGCCGCCGCCGCCGCCGTCGCCGCCGTCGTCGTCGTCATCGGTCGTGGTTCCCCACCCCCCCTTCCCACCTCGCGTCGGGAAACAACCGCGGCGGGAGTTTAATTACAGTTTGCGGCCCCTCGGGGGCCCTCGGGTCCCAGGGTCGTCAACGAAACGCAGGCCGAAAGCTAAAGGAGACCGCCCAGGAATCTAGATCCTCGATCGCTTCGAGTTTTTGTTGAGCCGCTGGACGTCTAGGTGCAGCGTTGGCACGAGGGTCAAGGGCAGGCTCAGCGTTGGAGCGGTACCCTGACGTTCTCCACGTCTGGGACCTCCACCCTGGACTGTTCGTTGTTCTGGGCACTTCAATGGGTCTTTGTCTAAGCCTCCCAGATGATGTCCGAGTAGACGGGGTCGAAGGATCGCTCCGCATCGACGATGCGGCTCGATGCGGGGCCCGATGTTCTCCATGCCGATGGCGCCGATACATCGGCGATGCGGCGCCGCAACCCTCTGGCCCCATCTACTCGGACCCCATCTAGGAGGCCTCTACTTTGGGCCCTCGGTGAAAGGGCCCATGCTCTTGTTCCGCGTTCTTGTGGCCACGTTTCGGCGGTACTCGGATGCCCTGCAGTGTCCACTTCGACCCGGTTCGATGCCGATCCCAGCCTGCCCGATCCGACTGGAGTTCGATGTTCTGGCAACCCGATGCGGCCAGATGCCGTGCATGGCGCCGTTGTGCGCATCTCGGCGAAGCCAATCGGCGCGGCTGCGCGCCGATTCGGCCCGATCCGACGCAGATTCCGAGCTCACCCGGTCTCCCGATCTCGCGGGGGGGCCCCTGGCCAGCCGGTTCCGCCCAGGCTGGAGCCCTTGGGGCCTCCCTGGGCATCTCGCCGGGCGAGCTCCCCAGAGGCCATTGGGGCCTCCCTGGCAGTCCCGGGGGCACCTCTGGGCCAGAGGTGCTCCTGGCAGCACCCGGCCGGAGCCCCGGCCCCCCTCGGCAGCCGACCGCCCTGGGGGCCTGCGGGAGGGGCCGCTCGGAGGCCGAAGAGGGCGGAGGTGGTCACTTGCGGGCCGCATCACGGGCGACGGCATGCACAAAGGACAAAAATATCAGAGTGCAGTCTCGACGTCTACACTCGGAGGTGGATAGACCTCCTGCCCTGACACGGCGATTAGTGGATTGGCCGTTCTCGGTTCGCGGGAGAGCGTCGCGGCCGTTATGTTTGCGGGTCCAGGTCCGTCGGTTTCGGTCCCAGGCCGTTTTCATGAAACGGTGGTTTACTAAAGGGAGGTTTGTCCACCGCCGATACATGAAGAGGAGGGTGAGTGGACCACACTGGGTAGCCCTGATCCAGATGATGAGGGCGCTCAAGTGGACTGAGCTGCATGATCTTCAAGGCCATCTCACAAGATATCGTTTTGGCTTCGGAAGGGGCCCAGGGCTCCTTGGGTCCATCCTCAGGTCTTCCCTCAGGCGTTCCTCGCAAGTCCCGGCGAGACTGGGGCCCCAAAGGTTGTGTGGTCCTTCGTCTTGGCATCGCTCGAACGTGTACGTTTTTATCTCGGCGAGGACCATCGAACAGCAGTTTGAGCCATCTTGCGAACAAAACACACGCACGGAGCCAGAAGATGCACGGGGAATGGACGTCCGAGTGATGGTGAGTCATGGGAACCTCAGTGGGTTCCAATTTCATTGCGGCTTTGTTGATATTTCCTGTGGATGTTGTCGGATGTGGCCCACGCCTGGACGAAATCTGGACGACACCTGGACGAGATGGTGAATAGGTGTGCTCGAAATCTAGACGGACTCTGGCCGAAATCACGTGTATGATAGGGCCTCAGAGGTTCACAGTCTGCCATGAACCAGGATTCAACTCTTGGGAGGTTTAATTTTGATTCGGCGTTGCTCTATCACTTGTCGAAAACTAGCCACATCTGGTTTTTACCCCGCTTGATCCAGATTTATTCAGTATCATATATCGTTGCAGGCCTATTCCGGCCTAATGTCGCTCAATGACCGCTTGCAGTCGGGCTTAATAGCCTTGAATCGTTCTCGCGAATGCCCCGCAGGAGTTGCCCCCAAAGGGAGGTGGAGAGGGGCAGGGAAGCCGGGGAAGTAAATAGCACCCCGTGGATGCAGATAAGAGTGAGGGGGCGGTGGGGACGTCGGTAGTTTGCGATACTCTGGAGAAGCCCGCCGCAGGCGCCGATTTTTTCCGTTAAACTAATGTGGGTAGGTCGCGGGTGAGTCGCAAATGTGTCGCGGGTGGGTAGCGGGTGTAAAGAGCAGAAAATCCACCCCATAATAATCACCCCCACAAGCGAAGCCGTTTAGTAAACGCACAAGGAATGAATCGAGCAGGGCAGGGTTGTTTAGTAAACGCCCAGAGCCGTTTAGTAAACGTCAATCGTCGGGTCCGGGTGGTTTCCCGTCCCTTGAGGGTGGGTCGCGGGGTGGGTCGCAGGTGGGTTGCGGGGTGGGTCGCGGGTGGGTCGCGGATGGGTCGCGGATGGGTCGTGGGGTGGGTTGCGGGGTGGGTCGCGGGTGGGTCGCGGGGTGGGTCGCGGGGTGGGTCGCGGGGTGGGTCGCGGGTGGGTCGCGGGTTGGGCCGTTGGTGGGTCGCGGGGTGGGTCGCGGGGTGGGTCTCGGGTGGGTCGCGGATGGGACGTCGACAAGAAGCAAGCGTAAAAACAACAACGCAACACGCAACGTTCTCACAACGAATTCCTTTCTCAGTCACGCACCCAGGGTGTGGAGAAGGAGGAGGGCGGGCAGGAGGTGCCCCCCCCCCCAGCGAGGAATCGCAAGCATGGATTCGCGACGCGCGGATTCACGACGGGTCCCGCTTCCGTGCAGGATCGTCGTCCGTCTGCGGACCTTAAATCGTTCTGACGATGACTTCCTGCCTCCATGACAGCTCACCTTGTCCGGTCTGGTGAGCCACGCGCAGAGGGAGGTAGGGGGGAGGGTTCCCAGAAGTTCCCTTGTTTCTGAGAAGGCATGGGCCTTGTCTACAGGTGTAGGGCCAGCGTCAGCTGAGAAGCCTTCCCCCCTCCCCAACAGCCCCTTCCTTGTCATCCGACGTTGCAGAACATCCCAGCATCGCAGAAAATTACGCCCTGACCCCCGAGTTTCATCTTTCTGCGTCATTGTTCGAGCCGGATCGATCTGTGAGGATCGCGGGGCCCGACACTGAGCAAAGGCGCCCAGCTCGAAGCATATCTCAGGGCCCGAACCTCTGGACCACCTCCCCGGGACCTGTTTTTCTTCCTGAGTCGTTTCTCAGCGCTCCCGATGCCCTCTCAGGGTCCCGAGAGGCCGAAAACGAGGAAAAAGTTTTGCATCGATCATTCCGAGACGCCAGATGTCTAGGCAGCATCGTGTTCCCCAACGAGCAAAAATTGAGCCGCCAGGATCTCAGGGTCTGCGCGCGCCGCCAGTCTGTGTCGCTCCCGCCCGCGAGGCCGCCAGGCCGGGCCCCGCCCCCGGCTCTGCTGAGCGGGGGTGGGGGGGGGCCTCTGCGGGGCCGCGGCCGCGCCTGGCCGGAGGGGCAGGCCGCCGTGGGCGCGCGAACGGGCAAGGGCGTCGGGGGGCAATGACGGGGGTCGGTTGTTCAGTTCCTCTGCCTCCTCCTCCTCCTCCTCCTCCTCCTCCTCCACCTCCTCCTCCACCTCCACCTCCTCCTACCATTCCTCCTCCTCCTCCTCCTCCTCCTCCTCTTCCTCCTCCTCCTCCTCCTCCTCCTCCTCCTCCTCCTAAGCCACCGCGAGGTCAAGCGGTGATCCCCAGGGTGGCTGCAGGACTGTAGGAGGACAGTTACCCCTCCCCTGCTCACACATACATGCCCCTAAAACCTTACTTCAGGGGGCGGCTCGGGGCGATGGCTACCTCTCTCGCAGTGCTGTATTACAACCCCATGCACTGTGCAGCGGACCGACTACAGGAGATATGCACAGAGGCGAGGAACTTCGACGTAGTGGGGCTGGCGGGGACGGGGAGACGCCGGCGCCCAGGTGAGTCCATGGAGATGGGCTACATAGCCAGCGAAGGGGAAGGGGGGTGCAGGTTTGTCGAGGGAGGATGGAGAGAGGGGGCTGCCTACAGCAATAAGTCTACGGGGTGTATGATCCTCTGGCGGGGTAAATGGAAACATGCGCAGTTACTAGACACGGCAGAACCACCATCGGAACTACACGGTAGAGGAGTAGCAGTTACACTATCCCTGGGTAAACAACGGACCAAATATATATGTGTCTACTATCCTCCACAACCACGTACCGCACGGGAACGCCAACAGTACATGCGTATTGTGACTGCCCTGACTGACTGGATCGACCAACAGGTCACGAGCTGTGGCACGAATACTTCAATCGTGATCGGAGGTGACCTCAATGACGGCCTAGGACAGACCCCCAAGGGTGAACCAAGGCACAGCTGGGCGGTCGGCCCTGGAGGGGCCCCGGAGCGCCTACCTGGAGGCGCGGGCCAACGCGTCCGCGAGCTGGCCGAACGACATCACCTATTTGCAGTGGGCACGCAAGATAAATGGCGACCTACCTACTTCACGGAGACCCATGCCTCTTTGATCGACTACGTACTGATCCCACAGGAGTGGCGTGAACGGACTACAACGATGGGACCACTCAGCCGTATGGGACGACGACTCCAGGTCATACGCAGTCGCGGACTCCGAGATCACATACCCACCCACGTCACAGTGGCCATGAATCATCGGCACTACTACTCGAAAGTCAGACAACGACCCAGGTGGAACCGACAGGCTCTGGTAGAAGGGGTGCGCCGAAATGTGGGTAGGACCGACTTTGTTAGGGAGGTGGAGGAGGAGGTAGCCAGGAGAGAGGAGGAGCTGGACGAGATCAGGAGGCAGGGAGATAGCAACGACACCATTGGAGCCCTCTCTGAGATTGTCTGCAGATTGGCCGAGAAACACTTCTGTAAGGATACTGCGCGGGACGACACGTATCACCGACTCCAGCAGGACCGCCAGGCACTCCTCACCTGGCGACGGGACCTTCGGGAGCTCCAGGGAGAGGGCACGGAACAACATATGATCAATGTAGCATCCCGCCTCAAAGCCCTGACCAAGAAGTGCGCGAGGATGAGGAGAGAGGCGCAGCAGAGGATAGGAGCAGAGAGGGTGTAGGAGCTGTGGGAAGCATGGAGGCGCAGGGATATAGCAGAGGTGGGACGTCTCAGTCGGTTACTCGCGGGTACACAGTTGGGACCACGACGCCGCAACTACCGCAGTGTGAGGACGAGCATGCCGACCAGACAGGAGTGGGAGGAGTTCTGGAGATTGCCAGGAGGACAGGGAGGTATGGAGGCGGCACCCACTACGAGGGAGGAGATGCTTGAGGAGTCGAGGAACACCACCTACCCCCTAGACTGCGCAGCCCTGAACGAGGCCATAGACGGCGCCAAGGACGACATGAAACGTGTGGCACGCAAGTTGTATCGTTCGGGGCTCCGTAGGGCACGCCCCCTGGGCTCGGCCCCAGCAGAGGCGTGGCGCATGTTGCTCACTAGACCTCCTGAGGTCCAGGACAGAGCTGGCGTGGGCACGGAGAAGGGCAAGGTCTTCCCCAGGAATTTCAGAATCCAACTCGAACAAGCCTTCCGACAGATCCGTGTCCAAAAGAAGACCCCAGTTAGTTGGCACATCAGTGAGGCCACAGCTGTCAGAAAGAGCGGGAAGCTCGGACCCCAAGGCAAGAGAGTCTACCACGTCCTGGACCCCTTAGGCAAATGCTACTACGCCGCCCAACTAGAGAGAGGAGCAGGACGACCTTGGAGGGATGAGGACTACGGCTTTGTGAAGGGACGGAGACGGGAGGGAGCAGTACTAGTCAGCTTGGTCACCCAGGACAGGCTCTCCAGGGCAGGGGCGTCCTACTCAGTAGTGATGAAGGACATGACGAACGCCTTTGCGAGTGGACACTGGACGGGAGTGGACGCTGCTACACAGACACTGCCACCACAGGAGTTGTGGGAGGTCGGGGAGCAGAGGTACAGACAGTGTGCGTTCACAGTGCCATGCAGGGATCAGGAGGAGCCGACAATGATACGACCAGGATGTGGGGGCCTCATCGGAGATCCACTCATGGTTTACAATTTTGTTGCCCTGTTTGCCCCCCCCCCCGTCGAGCAGTGGAAAATAGCATGTCTCGAGAACTTGCCAGAGGATCACCTGCTCATTGCACGCTGCCCGTTCTTCGAACAATCACAGTACTTAGGTCTCTTCAAATACGCGGATGATTTGCAGAAACTACTGGTCAGCACCTCGGATCAGGCTGCAGCGGACCTTTCCCAACAAGCCAGACTGGCTGATGACACGCTCGACGAGAGACTTCAGCAGTTCGGCCTGGCTCAGAACCGCGACAAACAAGAGAACCTTGTCAGACTGCAGGGTAGGGGCACGACGGCACAGTACAGACAGTTACGCACGAAACAACATGCACTTCCAGGACGCACGGTGCAGTCGGCTAGATACTTAGGACCACGCATCAACACTGTGCACACGTACGGAGCGGAGCTGCCACAACGTATTCATGCTATGATGAGGGCATACAGGGAGATGGGAGGGTTCTGGCACAAAGCGGGGGTACCGTTCAAGTGGAAACGGGCGGTCCTGATCTGTAAGGTAGTCAATGCTGGGCTCAGCTGTATCGAGAGCTTCTTACCGACTAAGGCCGAGTATAAGACTCTTACGATGACGGTTGCGGGACTAGCTCGGAGGGCCATGCGTGGCAAAGCCACCACCTACCAGCCCGACGGTGCGGTTCGGAGTCTCACGAGTTATGAAGTCTTACGACACTGGCGAATCCTGCCACTACAAATGGAAGCAATCGCCAGACGCCTCACTTGGATCAGAAAAATGTTACTCAACCCCGTGCCGCACCAGCAAGTACTTACAGCCATTTTCGGACAACTTGCTATGGAGCCGGAGCCGACGGTCTGCGACGACGGCACGCTCCATCCACGGTGTAATGCCTGGGCGCAAAGAATAATTAAGGACCTTGAGGAGGCGTGCCGCACGGACATGTTTGTAAGTAACTTAAATGACTTGGACATCCGACCCGGAAATTTCTTCGAGCCAGACTTCCAGGAGGCTCTCAGAGTCCTCGACCCCAAGGAGCTCCGACAGGCGTTCAGGGCCCGTACCATCCCACCCCCAGGCCTCCCAAGCCCAGGAGCCAACGCAGCAGCAGCAGATGTAGCAGAGGAGGAGACGGTGCTAGCGGAAATTGCTCCATGGAAATGTGAGATGGTGGACCTGCCGCATACCACCTCCGAGTGTGGCGACACTGCGCCGACGACGGCGACTGCCGACTTGCAGGCGGGGCCAGTGGATCCAGCAGGGGGTGTTCAGGATGTGATGTCAGCCAACGACCCTCGACAGAACATGATTCTCCCTGTGTGTGGTGCATGCTTCAGTACACGTAAGGCGCTTATGTCACACATGCGTAACAAACACAAACTGAGCAACGTGGCGTCCATACTCACACCTACTAACGAGTGCGTGAACTGTGGCATTGTGTTCGGAGAGCGCAGTGCGGCGGCACGGCGCTTGATGAGGTGGCTCCTTACAGGACGCTGCCCGTCGGACAGAACTCGGACGATGCGACCGATCGAGCCTTTCGCCCCGAAGTGCCAACTGTGTGGATATGCAGATAACGACAAACAACGTCTCTACGAGCACCTCCGCAGCCATTTCCCCAGAGCAGTTCTTCAGCCAGCTGCTCCGACGGGCCCCTGCGCCCGCCCGACTGCGACCCAGGCCCGACCAGAGGGCTATGCCCGACGCGGCGCCAGCGGCTGGGGCAGCGGCGGCGGCCTCGACCAACGACTTCGAGATGGCACCAGCGCGGGCGGGCAAGCGCACGCTCCAGGTGGACAGGGGCGCGACGCGTGCGGCCAAGGAGTCCAGGACCAAGGGCAAGGGCAGCGGCCGCGACAAGGACTACGAGCGCCTGGAGGAGATGGCGGTCATGACGGCCAAGCTCTCGCTCACCGTGGCCAAGGGCGTGGAGGACATGAAGGCGGTGGTCTACGAGTGCTGGGAGCTCGACGCCGGCAAGCCCATGGCGGCCATCCCGACGCAGGCGGGCAAGCAGTGCAACGACGACGTGAAGAAACTGAAAGAGCAGCACGCGAGCGACTCCAATGTCGACCTCGCAGCGCTGGGCCCGCCGCACCTCGTCGTCATCGCGGCGGTGATCAAGAACATAGCAGAGGTGGTCCCGCCAGACGACAAGGCCATCCTAGGAGAGTTCTGGAAGAAGGTGGTGCGCCTGGAGGACCCAGAGATGCTGGGCACGTGCGTCAAACACTACCAGGCGAAGACGAACAAGCAGCCGAAGCAGAGCAAGGAGAAAGTGCGGCTGATCTTTTCCTTCGACTTGCACGTGCCCGACTTGCGGGCCGTACGGGAGGTCCGGATCAAGGAGATCAAGAGGGAGGGGGGCCAGCGCAAGCTGGGGGGGGCACCCAGGGGCCCGCTGCAGCGAGGCCTCACGAAGCTAGTCTACACGAA